TCTTCTGTTGTCCCTTCTGCCTTGGTTCTGAAGATGTTTATGGCAACGTATGGGTAACGTTTTGCAAGTGGTTGGCAGTAGGTGGGCCACCTCCCTGTCTTAGTGATGGAGTGACACTACTTGCAGATTTTAATGATAACAGCGAAAAGAACTTAAAATGCTCCGTCATATTTGATCGTACATATAAGAGTAATACTGTAAAGGGTCTACTTTTATTTGTGTTCACTCACGATATCAACAAAACATTGTGCTTTTGTAAAATAAAGAAAATAAACAGGGTGTGCACTTTCAAGCCATCTCATTCTCCGCGCATATCTGTTTGAAATGCGTCACTAAAATTAACTGAAAATTAGCGAATATTTGACACACACATAAGAGATATATCTATAGAAAGCTTGACATGTCTACTTTTAAACTAAGTAAGTCATGTCGAACAAAATATTATGTAACAAAGTAATCAGTATGAAACCAATGCGGTGTCAAGTCTTGCCCGTCTGCCTTCATTATCTCTAATGTGATCACGCCCACGAGCCGATCGCACTTTTAATATTACAATAGTCCACGTGAGATGTGCGGCATGTAAATGCCCACATCACAGCAAACAAAGCAGCTAGACGTTTCCTCAAGTTCATCTTAGCTTCTGCTCGTTTCTGGAAGACGATGTGCTGAGAGGAATAAGAGAGAATTTACCTAAGAAAAAGACACGCTGAGAGGAATAAGACAGAATTTACCTCAGATGAAGAGGCGCCGAGAGGAATAAGCTTTGGATTTTCCTCAGAATAACGTGGCGGCTTGATATCCAGTGGATGATATCATTTACACGAGTAAGTCTTATTTTATTAGCCTACTAGCATTATTTATTGTGTTACTGTGACATAACGTGTACATATTTTACTAGTTAGACTTTTTCCAAACCATGATTCCTGACAATGTATAATCAAGTGAAACATGAAGATTCATTCACTGCATCTAATGTCTCACGACGCCAGGATGTTTATTTTTTAATGTTCTATAAAATAGACAGCAACGATATAAAAGTAATAGGAGTTATAATGTTAATAAATGTTAGAGTAAGAATGCTTAGACAAAACTTTACTATGGGCTCTGTTCGCGAAGATCTTTATAACGTGCTTAATAATAATTTATTTTCCCAGATATAAAATGTTTTTGTATTGTATAATAGGCCTACTAAGCATGCTTGTGGTTGATAGTGTTAAAATGTAGTTTCTTTGTTATTGGCATTCTGTTTTCTCATGAAGTATGCATACTATACTAAGGTACTGTGGGGAAAAAAAATGCTAACATTTATAAAATTTGTTTAGGACTGTGAATACACCACTCTTGCTGTCACAGATGTTACTTTCATTTGATTTATTTGCTGTATGGTAAACTATGTTTGCTATGTGGTAATTGTGTTCTTTGTTTCGATAGATTAGTACTAGTATCAGTGAACATCATAATAATGTTAATAATGTAGTTTGTGTAAACAGCATGCTTGCTTTTTTTTATTTCAGATGTGAGAATAACAGTGCAAAAGAACCTGTTGCAAAGAGAGCCAAAGCAAAGCAGCCCACTTGGTCATGGAAATGGAGATTCCTGCCTGCACAAGAACCTGGACCACAGCTAAGACCATGTGATGAGTAAGTGCACAGTATAGTAATTGTACTTTTATTATGCCTAATAGGCCTACTAAGCATGCTTGTGGTTGATAGTGTTAAAATGTAGTTTCTTTGTTATTGGCATTCTGTTTTCTCATGAAGTATGCATACTATACTAAGGTACTGTGGGGAAAAAAAATGCTAACATTTATAAAATTTGTTTAGGACTGTGAATACACCACTCTTGCTGTCACAGATGTTACTTTCATTTGATTTATTTGCTGTATGGTAAACTATGTTTGCTATGTGGTAATTGTGTTCTTTGTTTCGATAGATTAGTACTAGTATCAGTGAACATCATAATAATGTTAATAATGTAGTTTGTGTAAACAGCATGCTTGCTTTTTTATTTTTCAGATGTGAGAATAACAGTGTAAAAGAACCTGTTGCAAAGAGAGCCAAAGCAAAGCAGCCCACTTGGTCATGGAAATGGAGATTCCTGCCTGCACAAGAACCTGGACCACAGCTAAGACCATGTGATGCACACACTCCCATGAGTTATTTTATGTGATAGTTATATGTATGCTAAATAAACTACAAACAAAAAATAGATACATTTCTTTTTCCTCACATTCTTTCTTGTAGAAATTCCCTCTCAGTCACACACCTGACAGCTCATTATGCAGCTCATTATGCAGGCCTTTGTCTTCTCAGGTGTGAATCACAGCATTATGCATGATCATTCACGCCTACTCGCATATACCTTTTCTACACAAAAAGTGTCTTAGAAAATTTAAATCAATATATTGTTTTCTGTGAATGAGTGAGTAAGATGATTTTCACATCATTCTGAAGCAAAAACTCTAGACTTCAGTGTTTTATGGAGTGACTTTAAAATTGTAGTTTTTCACTAAGCACGCATAAACGTTGTTTTCTCAAAAACATCAAAAACACCATACATGCTGCTCACATATTATTGTAGCCCAGTTTGTGCTGATTACAGTGTTATTAAACTTTAGACATTCAAATGTTTGTAAGCAACTGAAAAAAAGCACAAATGTCAGGGCATGTAAAAACTTTTCCAGGCCCCAAAACACCCTCGACCCCAGAGGGTGGGAAGGTTGCTACGGAAATGTAATAGGTTATAGATTACAAGTTACACTATTTAAAATCTAATAAGTAGCGTAACTATTTCAATTACTTTAAAAAGTAATGTAACTGATTTGATTACTTTTTTTTATTTTTTATTACTTTTCTAAATATGTAATGTTTTCAACTATTAATCTTTTGAAACATGTAAACCAACCAGGGTTAATATTACAGTAGGACTCAATAACTAATTACTGTCAGACTTTCAAAATCCTTCATCAATTGAATTAGGATTATAATAATTTAATTTAAAGCACAACACAACAAAATCAGAATTGCTTTGAGATTGTTCTGAGATTAAATACACATTTAAAACCATAACAAGATAGTTTAATAGCTATGATACTGTTTTCAAATCAAGTCTTTGCATAGCTATGACAGGAAACACTGGCATCTAACAACGGATTGGAAAAACAGTTAAACTTAAAAAATAAATATACATCACCCAAATAGGAAATAAAACAGTTATCGAATAAGCATGTGTCCTAAACTCCTGAAACATCGGTGTCTCATATTTTAGAACAGTCAATGCAATTTATGAAAGATATCAATTAAATCTGTATGTGTGTGTGAAAAAATATTCAGATGCAAACCCCCCTTTGTAATCATTGACATTTTCATAAGTAACTGTAATTTAATTGCACATTTTTCTCAGTAACTGTAACTGATTACAATTACATTTATTTTGTAATTAAATTATGTAATTTAGCTACATGTAACTAGTTGCTCCC